CTTGACAAGGGCTTCCAAAAGCACCCCTCTATTGGGTTCCTCCTCATTTCTCTTTTGTTTTCCAAGGCTGGACTCTAGAGTGATGGATTCATGATTTACTTTAAAGCATTTTTTTTTTAATATTCAGGCATTCAGGGTTCTCTGAACCTCTAATAACTCCAGTGTACATAATCCTTAGCATCTTTCCCATAGTTTTCACTGCTTTTTCCCCTGAGAATTTTAAAGGACCAGTTTATTTGTGCTCTGCTTTAACTGCTTATAAACCCAAGTCTTTAATAAAGGCAACCAAAGCAGCCTTCACAGTCTATGTCGTTCTCACATTCTATGTCAAACTTTTCTTTCATTCAAGCCATTAAAATACTCAGACTGATTCTTTCCCTCCCAGTAAGGAATCCCCTATCCCATCATCCAGAATCTCTCAGGCCCACCAGAAGTAACACTGTGAATTACTTGCAGAAGTTAATTAACTCCAACTGAGCGGGGTGATAGTTGCTGTACAGTGTGTTTGGTATACAAATGAGCAGAAGGTGGCTTCTCTCAGTTCTTTGTTTCTTCACTTCAGGCTTGAAACCCTTTAACTTAAAAGCCTGCTGGCGCCAAACTCAAAGTGTTGGCCCATCCAATTATTTTCAAAACAACCAAGTAGACAAATGTGTAGCCATTTAGAGGCTGCCTGCTTTGCATAACTCTTGAAACCTCAATTAACAGCTGTTGCCCATTGATAAGAAAAGGCCTGTAGTTATAAGGTCCCAAGCCACTTGAGCTTCGACAACCTCACTAACCTAGAGACCACCCCCCAACTTCTCCCACTCTTTTTGTTTGTTTAATTTTAAACTTTAAATAAGACATATAATAGTTACCATTCTTTGAGACCTACAAAAATGCGATTTCAATGCATGCATGATCAATTCCCTTTTAGAAGGTCATGGTACATTTAATTGCATAAAATCTGTTAATAGTTGAGTGATTCAAGTAACATACAATGATAGTGCACTCAAACAAATGTACCACAACAAGTTATAATAAAATATATAAGTAATAATAAAATATAGTATTAAACTATAACAAGGTACAATGTTTTCAGAGAATATACTGAGAACTGCTTAAATGACTGGATTTTATCAAACTGAAATAGGTCCAGTACGTTATTTAAATTCATGTTCCAAAAATACCATATTACAAAAAAAGTCAATCAAAATGTGTTTAGGACTGTTTGGGACTTTTTTTGAGACAGGGTCTCCCTATAGCCCCAGCTAGCCTGGAATTCACCATATAGACCAGGCTGGTCTCCATCTCACAGAGATCCTCCTGCCTCTACCCCCCCCCAGTGCTGGGATTAAAGGTGTGTTCACATTATTTTTAATATTTTTAATGTATTGCCAACACACATCGTGACACTTTGTATTTCATGTTATCAATGTGTCTCACAGTGCATCATTTCCACCCAAAATTGATGAAAGTTAGTTTCACTGCTTTAAATATTAGTAAAAGTTGTTTGGCATAGACATTCTAGAACTATGAACTTCAATGCAATTGAACTGTCCTGGTTTAACTAAGGCATTGCATCTACCCCCTTGTGGCTTAAGCACTGTGTGTATCCCCCTACTCTTATGCTGCTGCTCAATCACCAAGCACATGACACATAGCCCTCTTTCCCTCAGGACGTCCCTCACACTTCTCCCACTACATGATGTCCTCACACTATGCTATGACTCTCCTCTAGAGAGTGTCTTACCAGGAGGGACTTCCCAGCTTCTAAAACCCTGTCAAATTCCCATCTTAAAAGTTTGTTGTAACAAACATGGATGTAACAAGTGTCTCTGCAATAGGAATGAGTTCTTTGGGTATATGCCGAGGAGTGGTATAACTGGGTCAAATGGTGTGTTTGTTTGTAGTTTTTTAAGGGTTCTCCACACTGCTTTCCATAGGGGTTGAACAAGTTTGCAGCCCCACCAGCAGTGGATGAGTGTTCCCCTTTCCCCTCATCCTCTCCAACATTTGGTATCATTTGTTCTCTTGATCTTAGCCAGTCTGACTGGGGTAAGGTGAAATCTTAAAGTGGTTTTAATTTGTATTTTCCTAATTATTAGTGATGTTGAACATCTTTTAAGATGTTTCATA